TTATATCTTAAAGTAACCAAATTAGAGGGATATATTAATTTTTAACCATTTGACCCTTTTTGGAGCGAAATTTTTTCAATTTGAGTTTTCCCAGATATAAGATATACCAGATGAAAGCTAAGGTCTTGGGCTAGACTTGTGGAAACCTAGAATAAAATCGACTGAGTAGTGCGGCCTCAGTGGTAGTTAAAAAAATTGCCTTTTTTAGAATTTCAGGCAGCAGCCACGCCCACACAGGAATACGAATCAAAACATCCTGGAACAAAACCCTCTTAGTTTATTGTGTACTTTAATTCCTGAAAGTTTGAAGAAAATTAAATGATGGTACGTACAGACGCCACATACATACCAAAGCATCACGTAGTGGAGACACGAACCAAAACACATTTACCTCTATATCTTTCCAACTAGTGGCCGGAACTTAATATATAAGGTATCGTTTGAAGGGTATTGGCCTATAGAATAACACTAAATATGTTGGGTGTACCCATATGCCCCCTAAAGCCGGCAAAATCACAAAAACGTTTTTTATTTCGCAACACTTTAGCCTAATTTTTAAGAATCCGGTTAATCGTTTACGAAGCTTGAATATATTTTCCGGACACACTCTGCAAGACCTTTCCAACGATATATCAAACATGTCGATTGGACGTCTGGATAAAAACTTCCAAATCTCGTGTATATATGGGCGAGTCATTTCAGCATGCTACTGTTGCTGCTTTCGTCACTCGCGCGCACTGCCGTGCGCTGTGATACATAAACATGAGAAATGAACAAAAACCCATAAATTGTAACACATTTAACTGTCAATATTTTGTACACAACCGAAATAAGATATCAATGCGTTGATCTCTTTTAATCTAATGTTCGCGCATGCAAATGCATACACCCATACATACATTAGAAAATGCATTGATATTATTTGCATGTATACATATAGCCGACGCAAATGCAAGCATTAAAATTAAAATTATGATAAGACCAAAGCGTTGGTTTGTAAATAGTACATACCAAAACAACATGTACATACACGCACACACATGCATATGTATTTACAATTAGTTAAGGAAAATAGAATTAGAATTTGTATATAAAAGGAAAATATTTAATAAACAGATCAGAATCGTAAAGACTCTCAATAACACTCTTCTTCTCCGCTCCTCTTCTCTTTTTTCTTTTAATTTTATTTTATATGCTTTACTTCCCCCACCAGCGGTAAGGGGTAAAGCATTTAATAGTCTTTATTATTC